GGTCGCAACCGCCGAACGAGAGGGCCGGTCCGGCTTCGCTTCGGTGGAGTCTTTGCCGTTTTTTTTTGCGTCTTTTTTGCGTTCGATTCTCAGCATGCTAGTTTTTTGGTAAGAGCCGAGCCGACTTGTGTTTTCTTCCAACTTTTGGTTTATAGTCTGTAGATAGGCACCTGTTTGCTCAGAGGCAGAGTGTAGGCTTGTGCTCTTCATCCTGTCGAATTGCTGGAAGAACTGGGCAAATGCTTGTGATCAGCTAGCTCGGCTCCACATCCTAGTTCTCTTGACGCCCTTTCAACCGGTTGATGATGGCCATGTCAGTGGCATTTTCGAAGCTATATACTTCTTATGGACTGCAGAGTTGGTTCGGAAAGGACACGGAGAGGCGGATGTGGAGCCAACGTGAACAGTGGAGCCAACACACCAATACACCCAAAATGGGATAAGATATGAGTGTGGCACGTTCGCATGCAGAGATCTCCCAACAAAAATATACCAAAACTCCATTGGTTGGGGGTCTCCATTGTAAAACGCACACACCCATGTCTTTGCCGTGATTGGTCACCTTCCATCGACGCGTCTACAGCCCGGCGATGTCAGGGATCGAGCCGCTTCGACACATGAAATCTGCAAAAAGCATACCAGGCCGGGTGATGTTTGGGTGACGAGGGGCACTCAGCACGTTCCGAATTCAGCCAGAGAGAGAGAGAGAGAGAGAGAGACAGACGGACCGACAGACAGACAGACAGACGGACAGACAGACGGACAGACAGACAGAGAGACGTAATGCACATGCTAGACCAACAGATTGGGACAGATAAATGCAGGTCAATTAGCAAGTTGGACACACCCACCAGTAGCCCAGTAGCGACAAAGAGGAGGACCGTATTGTGCTTTTATCCCACAAGGGATTTCATGAAATGATCGTCCCCCAGTCCAAACTGATATGGTATCCCATGGGTGGGCTTGGGCATGCTGCCATGGTTTTCCATGCCACAATTTCAAGAGATTTGCGTTCTTTTTGGCAAACCGCGAGATGCACAATGCAGGTGACTTGAAGGGCTCGAGGAAAGAAAAGAGCCCGCCAGGCCTGGGTTTGGACGGGGTGGGGCCAGGTGAGCTGCTTCTCTCTTGGTCTTATCCATCCTTATCCTCCTACTATTTTTGCACACAGAGAAGCAAGAGATGCAACAAAGTGAGCACGTCCTTTTCTGAAGCGACCAGGCCTAACTGCAAGTAGTAGTTTTGAAAGAATCTCCTTGGCCTTTTGCTTCGGCTGTTGACTTTCAAGAGCTCCGGAATTGGTGGGTTCTCCTCGAGGCCGTTGGTGGGTTCTCCTCGAAGAGTTGAAGGAGTGGATCGAGAAGGCGGAAGGATCAACAAAGCGGACGTAAGAAACATGATCGAAGATTGCTGGGCAGTGTGACCAGTCGAAAGACCTCCTGCTTCCGGAAAGCGGTCACCTGGTTGCCCTTCCAATCCACTAACCCAACCGATACGCCACTTTATGTACTGTTAGGCTAATGCTTACCGCACGAATCCCCCACAAAAAAGGGAAGACACATTGACCTGTTGCGCATGGTTGGGTCACGCACAACCTGCACAGCTTGCGAGCATTTGAGTAAGGGTTCTTGGGAGATCCTGCACAAAAGAAGGGCCCCAACGAGTTTCGGTTGGCTTTGGACACTGCTACACATTTCGATCGCCCTTTGAGAGAAGACCACTTGCGCAGTAGTTGTGCTATAAAGATATGGTGCAATGGTGGACCACAAAATGGTAGGATGCGGATAGCTGTAACATTCTAGCCCTTTTGGGAGTTTGAGGAGCTCCATGGTTCGTTAAAGACCGAAAAAAACCCGGGGACGCTTCGCGAACGGAGCCGCTTCTGCATGGCTATTGTGAGATTCCGAGTCTGAGGAAGGAAACACGGTTGTAACTTGTTCATCTCATGTAAGTTTTGATGCCATCAGCCGTCGTTTTGTACCCTCGTTGGGCGAGATAGGTGGGGCTGCAGGCCTTGGCCCCACGCTGCCACCACATCACGGCGGAACACTGTATTGTGGGAAGTGAATCTCACTTTCCGATGAAGCCGAAGCACCACAAAAGACCCAGTCAAAACTCAAAATGTCCTAGGCGATAAGCAGAACAACAGGTTTCGAACGGTGCATCAGCTGATTGCACATGAGGCTTAGGCTAGATGTCGCGATAATGTTTTGCATTGGAGACTTTTTGAAGAACTCAGTTTATAATGGCTGGTCTTTTTGTACTATGTTCCCCGAGCCGCAAGAAGAACTTCAGCTTTGCAGGCCTCCGCTGCACAACTCTTGGTGCTTTCTCGAGCCGGGAGGACTTAGATTTGCCCCAAAGGTCAGGTTGTACTGACGGAGACAGCGTTGCCATGGCGAGAGACAAACGAAGGGGGGCTGTCGAATGCGGCGGCACACTTCGGCCCGACCTTGGTCGTTGTGGCCGTGCCACGACTTGCGTCCGTCGCACCGGTGTCACGGCGGCTCACGCCTCAATCGTTCCCAGGGGCTGAAAGGATGGCAGAGTTTCTTTCGCTGGGGTGGGACCAGTGATCTATAGCGAGACGTTTTGAAGAGTCTATGATAGCATCTGCAGTCATTTGTGTGCGCATTCCAATTGAGACAGTTAGCAGTTAGCGCTGTCTCAGCTGCTTGAACCTCCTCCACACCATCATTCAGCACCAAGAGAGGCCACCATCATTCAGCTCACCATCCTTGAAGTATGAAGTACTCATGTGCATCCGATATCATCCAATCGGGATGAGGTCTATCACTGGATGGAGTTCAGCGGGCCCAGCAGCAAAGTAGCTGCGGGCATTGCCAAGGTGGTGCGCAAGGTGCCGCACCGGTACCGATTCGGTGCCGGAGTAAAGGGTGGGGCAATGGGGCCAAGCTCTGTAGGCCAATCTAAACGAAAGGAGAAGCAGATGGGCATAGGTTTTGAGTTCACAGATTGGTAGGAATGGCAAGACAAGTTCCCGTGGATGGATTTCCTTATGAGGCACGTTGCTCCCGTCATGCTACTTTCTTCATGAACTGCAGCCGCAACGGCAATAGTCAGACTTGCTTCAGAAGCTCAGTGATGAGCCTCCCCCCGACTCTCACAGGGCGCAGGAGTGTCTCACAGATCGTCCTAGCTTCCATCAACCGGATGACTTCGCACAGACAGACAGAGACCGAGACAGAGACAGAGCAGAGACAGAGACAGAGACAGAGACAGACGGACAGACGGACAGACATCTCATGAATCTGCCGGGCTCAAGGGATCGGCTCTCTTTGGGGCGAGGCCGCTTAGGGGCTCATGGCGCGGACCTCCAGCGCGGCGATGGCCTATCGCGAGGCCTTGCTCGGGGGCCTTGAAAAGATCTTGGAGAAGAATCATCGAAGATTGGCGCCTTGGTGGGGATGCCTTTTTTCTCCGAAAGATGCTTTCCCTGAAGTGCAGGTCAGGAGGGCGGAATTAGGTTTTCCAGGTGGTTTCCGATTTTGTTATATTGAACTGCTTGGGATGATTGAAAGCACTGACTCACATTTTTTCGATTGAGTTGAAACCACCAACTAGCTGTGTTTGCTTCATCAAAAGCTTGGATTGTTATGCTACTATGCTTCAGGCTTTTGGTTCACCGTGTCTTTACGACTTGGAGTGAAGTCGGAGGTGGAGTGACACCTGGGCCCCGTCACGCAGAGTCGACCTAGGTCCTAGAGATGCAGCAATGGCTGGGGGAACATCAAGCTATGAACAGCTCGGAGATCCACGAGGAAGCTGAAAAGCCAGAGAGGGAGAAGCGTGACAGCGCTGGGAGTGACAGCCGGAAAGAGAAACTGACCTGAATTTACAGTTGCTTCATGCTGCTTCACATGAGCCAACCAGGATTTTGGACTAGTCTCCACCATTTCTCAACCGAGGAAGGTCTCCACGTGCAGTGAGAGCTTGCCGTTCTCCTTGACAGCCAGCCAGGTGAGACCAAACCAGAGAGAGAGAGAGATGGTTGGTTTGGACATAGCTGGTTTGTCTAGGATGTCTTTTATTAGCTAGCATAGGATGTATGGACGTCACTTTCACCAAGTTGAAAGACCCTGACTGCTCACACAAGTCCAAGTCCATCGACGTCATCGACGTGAGGACGATGTGATCATCGATGAAATCAGTCGACCCCGCTCCTTTTTCGTCGACGACCATCTCCCACACAGGGAGCGCAGATGGTCGTCCTCTGATCCAGGGATCCAAGACCCAAGCAGCTTTTGTCCTATGAGAATCCTTGTCAGGGCCACTTGATGGTTCACTGCCAAGGGAGCCCCCCCAAGAATATACATGGGCAAAAGAAGGGAGGAATCACTGCAGTCACTGCAGAGATCTGATCTTGATTGATGTTGCAAACTGAGCACTAAGCACCAATCAAAACAGTTCGGTGGCGGCTTATGTCTATATAATTCTATATATCTTTCTGATGCCAGTGTTTTTGCTCGCTTTCGAGGGAGTGCCATAGATGTCCCTACCACATCCCAATTTGACTGGTGTAGAACTCTGCTTCTTTGGGTCACACCTCGCCTCGTTGCTCGCCTCGGCTCGCGTGAACGCCGCCGTCAGGTGGCCTTGATTTCCCCCAGCCGCGTCAGTAGCATGGAGCGATCGGGCTATCACGTGGCCAAGCAGGTGGGTGTGGAGTTACCTCCCCACGGACAGTTGGGACGGAGGTTTCAAGGTGAGGACACAGTGGAAAGGACAGGTGGTTCAGTGATGGGTGCCCCAAAAACAGCAGTTTGAAGCGAACGCACTTCCGTTGTCTTGGAATGTGTGCAGACTCTTTCCACTTGACCCGCTCCGTGGCGCCCTCAGGTGAGTGTGCCCTCCTTTGCTGCACCCTCGGTGGCTGCCTCGGAGGCCGAGCCACGACTCTGCGAACGGCGTTGGCGACTTCTTGAAAAGGCGCGCCACTTCTCTCGAGGACAACCCGAGCGACCATTTCGGAGCCCAGCATGGTTTGGTTCCCCCCCAAAGGGCTGCATAGTATCAAGATTTCTGCATCTGTCCTCAGATGTGTGTTTGATTTGGACCTTCCATCGTTTCACTGGGCCGGCACAATCCTGGATGACACCGGTCCTTCTCGTGCACCGGTCCCTCTTCAGGCGGTGTCCTCATGGCAATTCGAGGCCTTCTTTGCCGTCGTGATCGCGACAAATAGCTTATTCATTGGTTTGAGCATCGAGTGGGAGGCGCAAGAGCGGACCTTCACGCTTCCCACGGAGCTTTTTGTCATTCAGATTACCTACACCCTGCTCTTCCTCGCCGAAGTCTGTCTCAAGCTGCTAGCCTTTGGTGCCAGGGATTTCTTTTGCTCGTCCGGATGGGCTTGGAATTGTTTCGACCTGGCTATCGTCATGTCCGCTGTGTTTGAGTACCTTGGCCTCAACCAGTCTCCGCCTCAACCGGAGCGTCACGGGACCTTGCCTCGAACCTAATTAGCGATGGCCTCCAGCCCGATAGCGATGACCTCCAACCTAATAGCGATGGCCTCTACCTAGCAGCGATGGCCTCCACCTTAGTAGCGATGGCCTCCACCTAGTAGCGATGGCCTCCAACCTGGTGGCGATGGCCTCCAACCTAATGGAGAGGGCCTCCAACCTAATAGCGATGGCCTCCACCTAGTAGTGATGGCCTCCAACCCAATAGC